CCACAAACCCAATTACAATATCTTTTTACTAATGACTTAATTTCAACATTTCCGAACACAGCAATAGCACTAAGAATATTACTTACATTGCCGGTTTCAGCTGCATTTGGTGAAAGGTTCTTTTCAAAGTTAAAAATTATAAAAAAATCTATTTAAGATCAATAATGCACCAGCAAAGATTAAGTAATTTAGCTATAGTTTCAATTGAACATGAAATCTTAGACAGCTTGGATACATGAAAATTGATAGCAAATTTCGCAAACATAAAGGCAAGAAAAGTTGAATTTCTATAGATAAACATTTATATGGTATTACACTTAAGTAAACAAAAATAACTTAGTAATAATAAATAGATTTTTTTTGTAAAGTATTTCTTTTCTTTTTTCAGACCCTTATGAGACAACACTAATGAGCCTTTCTGGCAAGCTCAGCGTAGGTAGTTGTAGTTAAACAGGGGGCGGCATAATCGGTATTGCACGCGGGTGTTCAAACTGCTAGCGGCGCCCCTGAATATATACATACTGTATATACAAGAATCTGAATAAGATTTGAATTTTGGTAGTTTATCACCTTACATGCAGCCATCATGTTAAAAAAAAAGTTTGATAGATTGCAAGATCTTCGTCTACGTCAAGTGATCTCTCACTTGATCATTTGCGATCTCTAACTCGCGATATTGCAAACTTTATACCGATCCCAATGGCTAAATCTAAGTGGTAAATCCAAGTGGCAGGAGAAGGTTTCGATCTAACAATGGAGCTGGAGCTAGATATGTAGACTTAATTCGATAATAAACTATTTATTTATATTAAAACTGTTATGTATATCTTAATACATAAGTAACAACAATAAGAACAAACAAGCAAAGTTTTCATTTGACAATCAAATACTCGATTCCCTTATATCTAACCTGAGAGAGTGAGTTTACAGTGTTATGGTTAAATGTAATACCTCATTACTTTTCTTCTATTTCCTTCTGTTGTTGACAGAACTGGCCATGTTCTCCTGTATTTGGCAGTTGGTGTCCTTTCATTCGGACACCAACTTTCTTGAGATATCTCTGTTTATAGGACAGTCATCCAATCAATCAGCAGGGGCTATTCAAGTCATCTGAGAAGAGAATCAACAAGGAAGTTCCTTGTTGCTTCTCTCCTCAGGTGAGATTGATATCAAAATCAGGAACTTCCTTCAAAAACAAAAGAAAGTTCGTTTGTGACTAACATACAGGTTTCTTTTTTGACAAATTTTAATACTTTCTATTTAACCTAAAATATTTGCCCCTAGGTTCTCACACTAATGTACTAAGAGAGATGAATATTCATTTTTAGATTTAAAATTATGTAGTTACCTTCATTTATGTTAATAAGAAGATGATATAATTGTGAAAAATACATCCATTGTTTTCACCTCAAGATATATTTTGATTTATATATCAACTAATAACTTAGAATTTTTTAAAACAAGACATAAATTTTTAATATATAGTTTGATAAAAATAGAATAAATAGTTTGTAATTAAAACTAAGTCTCAGAAAAAAATTAATACTTTTTAGTTTATTAGATATAGCAAATTGCTTGGAGAACATTTTAAAAAAGTCACAAAGTGGAATATTTTTTCATTCATACAATTTAGCAAAATGGAATAAGTTGTAGAGTGATTATAAAGATTAAAACAAGTGTCTGAATTTAACAAACTGATTGATTGATTTTTGAACTAGAATAAATCTTAATATTTGTGGAAATAAATTATTTATAAAAATTTACAACAAATATTTTTCTCTTTAAACAGACTTTCATCCTTTTGAGACTATTATTACTCAAAACATTGAAAATCATTTTGCATAGATTCATTAAAAATTTCATTCCAGTTGTCTTCTATTGAAGAATTAAATTAATTGAATTTTAATTTTTGCATATAATGTAAGAAATTTATTCAAAAAAAGAAATCCTGATAAACTAACTTCTCAAAAATATAAAATAATTATTTTCTGACATTTATTTTAACAAATTATTTACATCCTTAAATTTTTATTTTAATTATAATAATTTTATTCTTTTAGGATGGAAGATTTTCCAGTACTATTGGCATAGAAGGATGGATGATAAGTAATTTATGTTGTGGCATGTCCCCTATTTCCTCTTTGTCTCAGATGTTCATTCAGGTATTTTACAGAACTAAGTAAAATAATATATTGGTTTCTAACAGAATATGAACTTATATAAATAATCAGAAAGTAGTTTTACAGCATTTATTTTGGATTGTAATTTTTTCTTAAATGCGATTTTATTTCTTGAAGACAGATTATATTTTTAAGATATTTAAGAAAAGAGCACTACATGAACTTTGCATTGAAGGCACAAAGAGAGTAATACAAGAGAAAATTATGAAACATTACAATTTGGAAACATTATTCAGAATATTAAAAGTAACCAGGCTAATCAGTTTAGAAAAACTGAATATTTATATATAATGAAGAACAAGAACTTTTAGCATTTTTTTCTATAACTCTCTTTAAACTTTATATCCCTTAGATTTATTTTTCAGCTTATATACACTAATGATTTCTTATTATTGTGATTTGTAACATTTGTGCTATAAATTTGGTTTATTATTGTTATAAATACACAATCATTAGAAATTAATATGACAGTTTTAATGATGATTAAATCATTTTAGTCAACTTGAGACTTTAAATACTGTAATTAAATTACGAAAAAAATATAATTAAAACGAGCAATTATTTATTGTGACATTGTCACAATGACAGGTTGCAATTTTTTATCACAATGAACTTGTTTAGTAGTGTCTTCCCCTGTACGTCATACTTTTCCTTTTAACACTGAAGTCATGCTGATCATCTATCTAACTCCATTCAGGAGAAAACTTTTGAATTGAAATAACGTGACTTCCAGCTCAATGTAGAAGTTAATATATAATTAATCAGGCCTCCTGCCCCTAAGTTTTCCATATCTTGACTTTCATCTATCTAACTCTGTTCGCAAGATTAAGGAAGAAAGGACAGACAACAGATGGATGTGAGTGGGAATTTATGGATCTGCGATTTTTTTCAAATTGCAGTCCAATAATTTTGATTTGTTTTGAAGGGTAATTAAATAAATAATCAAATGATTATAATTTAATATATATGTTCTATAAATGGGCAAAATAGTTTACAGGAAATATGAATATTATATCCATAAAAAATTATATTGTAGTGGAATAAATATGTACTGAGATGCAAACAATATGCAAAATACATATCTATTCTCTTTATCTATCTATCATAAGTGGAGTATAATGCTTCCACCATGATGCTCCACTCAGTTTTGTTCTGTATAATTCACTTAATCTCTCTCTAACTTTCTAAATTCTGAAGACAGTCATCATCACTTTATTTTCTCTATCAATGTGTTTAGATCTGGTTTTTTTTCAGATAGGAAATACTTTTTGAAACTATTACTTAAAGATTGTAAGTGTTGCTCAATGATTATATTTAATTTTGATAAGTTTATATCTTGCTGTGAAGTCACAAACTCAGAATAATTATTAAATATATCAATATTATTTTTTATCCAACCAACCAAACCTTTTATCCAACCAAAAATTAATTTTTTTCATAAATCCATCTATTTTATTAAATAAACGAAATGCATTTATCGTAGTTCCTTGTAAACTTAAGTTTAAATTGTTAATGCATGAAAATATATCACTTAATATATGCTAGTTTTGCAAACCATTCTACATTAGACAAGTGAATTCTTAAAGGACTAAAATATTTCTACTAATTTACTATTTAAACTGTTATTTTTTATAAATTTAATAATTTTTATAGATTCTGCTAAAACCTCACTTAATTCTGTGGATAAACTTTTCACTGCTAAATGTTGTCTGTGAATTATACAGTGTGTAATCAGTAAATCAGAATTAGCTACTTGCTGAATTCTTTTAGTAACACCCCAATGTCTGCCAATCATACTAGCCACTCCATCGGTACATACACCTATGCAGTTTTTTCAATCTGAAGAATGTTTAATAAAATAAGAATTAAGTGCATTAAAAACTCATCACTTTTGTATGAATTCAATTCTATATAGCACAAGAATTCTTCTTTTATTTCTTCCAAAATTAAATCAATATATTTGACGTAGCAAATTAATATGGCCTTTTGAGAAATATCACATGATTCATCAATTTGTATTGCAAAAAAATTTGATTCCTTTATCTTTTGTAGTCACTGATGTTCTACATTCTCTGATAATTTTTCAATTCTTCTTATACTATCATTAGCTAAGTGAATAGATTTAATTTTATCAGCAGCCGAGGATCCAAACATCTATTAAAACTGGTTTTATCAAGTTTTCTCTGGTGGTAAATGATTTTCTGACTTTAGTAATTTGAAGTGCAACTAGATATGAGCATTTTATTAATAACTTACTCTGAACAAAGTTTTATTTAAATGTTTAATAAAAAGCACTTAACACCTTATATGCTGAGATATATTTATTGAAACACAAACGTTTTCAGCCTAATGGAATAGGCCATCTTCAAGTGAACTGGCATTCGAACGTATTTCAAAATTGTATTAAATGGAACGTTCGATCATTGTAAATTCAAAATTAAAACAAAAAATAAATTAACCAATCAATATACAAAATAAGTATACTAAATAGATTGACGCCATATTAATATAAATAATAAATAAGGCAATATAAAAATAAAAACAAAAATAATAAAAATAAAACTAAAAACAAAATAAATTAACCTAAAGGATTAAATGCACAAAAGGACTAAATTCATAAAAATATATACATAAAAAAACATCACATTATAAAGGGCAGATAGGAACTAAGAATTCGTGTGTTTTAACTTTTCTTTTACAAGGAACTTCCATGCCGATAGTAAACAATCAACATCCCTTGCATTGATACAGCCGTCTCTTTTATTTATTATTTATATTAATATGGCATCAATCTATTTAGTATACTTATTTTGTATATTGATTGGTTAATTTATTTTTCGTTTTAATTTTGAATTTATAATGATTGAACGTTCCATTTAATACAATTTTGAAATACGTTCGAATGCCAGTTCACCAGAAGATGGCCTATTCCATTAGGCTGAAAACGTTTGTGTTTCAATAAATATATCTCAGCATATAAGGTGTTAAGTG